GGGGGGGGGGGGGGGGGGGAGGGGATTCAACGAACCCAGTGTGTGACGCATCAAATTTTAAGGGTTCGAAGGAATTCTCATATCACCATTTGAGAGAGAGATTCTCGGGAGAGGGAGAGTCATCAGACAGATATGGGCCCACAGTTGCTGTGTTTAGCTTTTGGTTAATTAGGTCGGCCGGATCCAAACCGAATCCGCACTCGGCCTGATGGTTTCGGATTCGAATTATGGCCGGAATGAATATTTTTGGATCTATATAACCAAATCCGAATTCTGGTTCAATCGAGAGAAGATCCGGTTAATCTGTTAATCCAAATGGGAGGCATCATCATCATCATCATCATCACCATCATCATCATCATCATCATCATCATTATTATTATTGACGGATTTATTAGAATTTAATGAAATTGCCATGACAAGACTTGCACACCATAAAACATCATGTCTCTAACATCACGAACTCTAGTTTCCACTTGCCAAAGATGAGAAGCTGAAAATGTAGAAATCACCGAGCCGTTCATTGCTCGGCGAGTTCCCGCCGTGAATCACCAGCCCTTCCTCCCCGTCCTTGACCGCAGTCGTGAACCCGCACCACCCGCGCAGCCTCGGATGATCCACCTCCGTCCCGACCGACGACGCATTGTCCAGTATCTTCCACGCCAACGTCTCCGTGTCCAACGCGTAAACGTGATCACAGAATCTCCCCGCCCCCATATGCATCAGCGGGCTAGGCTCCAACTCGCCCCCGAATATCACTACGTGTTTCCCCGTGACCGCCGTCGCGAAAACGCTTCTCGCCGGCGGGACCTCGCCCGTCGTCTCGACCAGTTTCCACTCGTTTTCGGCCAAATCGAAGCAGTGAATATCGTCCAACGCATGTCCGCAGAATCCGTAGATGACCCATATCTTCCCGTCCACGACTGCGAGCCCTGGTGCGCCTCTCGGCTTACAGGAATCGCCGGGGGACGGGAACTCTTTCCACTCCCTGTCGACGATGTTGTACGAGTGGAGAGTGTTGACCCTTCCGTTAGCGGTCACGCCACCAAAGACGTACACGTTCTGGTCGTCCGCGGCCATGGAGTGGTAGCTACGACCGGGAAGCCCCTCGTCCGGTGGAGACAGTAACTCCCACTTGTTCGTGAGCGTGTCGTAAGCGTAGAGACCGTTGTAGTTTTTGGCCTCGTCACGGCCGCCGAGGTCGCCCGCGCCCATGGAGTGGTAGCTACGCCCGGGAAGCCCCTCGTCCGGTGGAGACAGTAACTCCCACTTGTTCGTGAGCGTGTCGTAAGCGTAGAGACCGTTGTAGTTTTTGGCCTCGTCACGGCCGCCGAATAGGTAGAGGGTGGTTCCGATGGCGACCATACAGACGCCGAAGGTGACCATGGGGATGTCGCCTGTGGCGGGAGAGATGGACCATGTCTGAGTCTTGAGATCGTAAACGAAGAGGTGGTTGTCGACGGGGATTGTCGGCTTGAATTCGCCGCCGAAGGAGTAGATTTTGTTGCCCACCGTGGCCATGGCGTGCGAGCTTCTTGCCCCTGGACCATCTCCTTTCTGGTCAAGCTGATAAACACAGAACACACCCAAATCAGAGACCAGGAAAACGAACAAGATAAGAACAGAACATTTTCAATCCTGTATTTCTCGTTTCGAATCATCATATCAGACGTCAGAATCGAATCCAGGAACCAAAGTGTTTCAATTGAATCATCAAACCGGGTCTTGTAATCTTATTAATGATCGATCAGACAGAAAACGAAAGTGATTATCGCTTGAACACGACTTGTAGCAGATATATCATTAATGCCAGATGGAATCTGATGCTATGGAAACAATCAACACAAACCCTAATCCCCCCTCCACCCAAGATCACGAAGACCCAGAAATCAATCAGAAAAACGGTTTCTGGGTATCGAAAATCGGGCATAACAGAGATCGAAAACACGAGTCTTTACAAAATCAAGCGAGGATTTTGAGGAGATTTACCTTAACCCACTTGCTCTGCAACTGAAGAATCATGGCTCCAAACTCTTGTTTTTTTTTTCCGTCGAATTTCCGAAGTTTTTGTTCTTTGTTACGTCTCCCTTTCTCCCTTGGCTTGCGTGTATAAATAGGCCACAGCCTGTTGAGTTCACGTGAATCACATACGGAAACGTAAACAGAATTAAAAAAAGAAAGAAACATATGCGTTGAACGCTAAAAATTGAAAAAGGTAGCAATAAAGTTTTCTTAATTTAGTTTTCCTAGAAATTTAAAAATCTACTTTATAAAAAATCAACTAAAAACTAAAAACCAATTTTTTTTAGATTTACAAATTTAAGAAATTCAAAAACCAAAAACCAAAAAATAAAAACTAAAAACCAAAACCCTAAACCCAAAATAAAAACCACTACTTCAATGAGCAAAAGTAACCCAAATTTCTAAATAATATATTTCCCTTGTAACAAATTTTAGTGGTTCGTTATTGAGAGCCCGTGGAGTCTTCCGGCAATTCGATGACGTGGCACCGGTATTCGATGTATCGGGATGCTGTTCCGGGGGGGATTCATAGTAGCGGTAATTTTGTAATTGTGACATATAAGGCCATGGGTTCATGGCATATACATACAAACGTTATAAAAACTTTTTTTTTTGGTATTTAAAAAAACATTATATATATATATAATAAGAAACGATTATTAAGATTTTGATACTTTCCTTATCGGTGTGACACGTTCATATCTATCCATGGACAACTCATCTTCGGCAAAGTCAATTGAGTTACGAAATACATAACAAAGCAAAACCCTTTTTGAAATTGTGAACTGCTTGCTTAACAAAATATTCAACTAACTACGATATCCACGACATGTCTGATTTACAAATCGAATATATATTAAATAAATCATATTTAATTATATATAAAGTTATATACCATTTGTTTTAAATTAAGTTTTTTAGAATTGAATATAAAATAAATAATTTTTTAAAAATAAAATTATATTTTTAAATAGTTTTTTAGTATAGGATAAATCAAAATTAAATTTAAAAAATGATATAATTTTTACTAGGGATGTCAAATGGGTTGGGTTAAATGGGTTTTACCCAACCCAACCCAATAATATAACCAAATGGGTTAACCAATTGGATTAGTTTATTTAAATGGGTTGAATGGATTGAACCCATTTGGTTTATGTATTAAATGGGTATATCCAAATAAACCCAAGTAACTTCAAACCTAAAAATTCATTTTGTTTTTTTTTCCTTGAGTGCGATTCGACTTTTTTCTTTCCTCCTCAATTCGGCTCCTTAACATTATTACTAAGTCTACATATTAACATTAGTCAGCTAAACATTATTGCTAACTCTACGCATTAATCCATTTGGGTTAATGGGTTTTAACCCATCCATTTAGTTTTTATCATGTTATTAATGGGTTGGGTTTGACCCAACCCATTATTTTATATAATCCAAATGGGTTCTAACCAAATGGGTTGGATTACCCATTGTGACAACCCTAATTTTTACAGAATAAAATTGTGAAATGATAAAATAAATGAATTGAAATATAATTCCGAATTGTCAGTCTAAACCCGGGACCAACCTTTGTATATGAACCATTTTGATTCAGAAATTACTTCTTTTTTTATCAATAGAATCGAACGGATGAATGATGGTTTTGTCACTTTTCAACCACCGTAGTTGTATTTTATAAGCTTATTCATTCTTCCCAAATTATACGTTTTAGAAAGAGAACAAAATGGAAGCGGACGAAAATTGAATGTGGACACGTTTTTTTTTTTTGTTGAATCTGGTTAAAGTCCAGATGGCAATGTTATTTTTCATGTATCCCCACTGCCCGATTTCCATGCTACATACATTACATGCTTATCCAGAGGGCAAAATCGTCATTTTACACATCTTTTGGCGATTGCGTCATCATGTTACGCGCAGTTTTACTATGCAAATTATTTTGCAATTTCGCTGGAAAATTGATATCGAACTGATATATATATATATATACTAGGTTTTAACCCGCGTGAATCGCGCGGACCGTATAATTTTTTTTTAAAATATTATTAGTTTTAAAATTAAATATGTTATATTTTACTTTTAAATTTATAATACATACCTTAAATCGAAATGATAAATAATTTTTAATAATATTGAGATAACAGTATCTTTTATTTTCAAAAGATGATCGCGAATAACGTATATATTTATATTTTCGTGTGTTATAATATAAAGTTAAAGGTCAGAACCTAATTTGGGAAACTCAACCGGTGAAAAAGATGCAAAACGTCTGTCTTGGGAAGGAGAGTGCATATTCTAATCACATGACTTGCTTCCGGATCTGAAATTAGTTTGAACTCGGTGTAGGATACCCGGTTATTAGAAAAATAGTAAGGGGTAGAATAATATTCTTAGAAAGAAGTTTTTTTTAAAAATGAAATATTAATTTTTTAACGTTTAAAAAGAAGAATAAAAAAAGTTTTATATTGTAAAATAAAAAAAGATGAAGAAAATAAGGATTAGGTTGATTGGACACCGTGAACACATTATCACCATTTTATAGTTCAGAATTTTTTAAATTATGATTGGTACATCAACAAAAGTAAAGCACTTAAAGAAAGTGACACTAACCACATCTGAACTATGATGGTCTGATCTTACTGATATTTCATTTAGAATATGCCCGTCAAAACACAATCTAATAAATCTCTAAAAGATCTTAAAACAAAAACCCAATAATAACTATGTAGATTAAAATTAAAGTTCTCGTGTTGAGTTTGTTTGATTCCTTCATAGCTGCTTTCACAACTGCACTTAGATCGAACTCATGTTCAATATTCTTGATGAAGACTTTTTCTTCCATGATTATCGGATAGTTATCCTCGAGATTTGTCACAACATCGAAGCCTTTACTTTTTTTTTATTTCCCCCTCATCATGAAGAGCAGAACCACCACAATAATTGATACAAATACAACCATGACAAAACCTATTACAATCAGTATCGTCCTTTATGAAATCTTTTGATTATATTTCAAGTGTTAAAGACCATCAGGATATCTATATAAAGTGTTCAATAGTCCCCCGCAACGCCCTCTGTTTCCAGAAAGGCTTGAGTTTGAAGACTTTTGGAATGGAACAAAGATTGGAACTTGACCATCTAAGAGGTTAATATAGAAATTAACCTCGATCAAGCTTAATATGCCTTTGAACAAATATGTTATGGAACCCGTGAGCAAGTTATTACAGACGTATAAATAAACCAACTTATCGAGCTTCCTTAGCTCAAGAGATTGGTCATATGAGGAATTTACCGATAGCTCTCAGCTTGAGTTTCATTCATCTCCATGAATCGCTACATTTATACTTATTCGCTGAAATATACATGTACTTTATATATTCTATCAAATAAGCCCCTAAACACAAACGCCAAAAAAATACGATAAAAAATCTGTCTAAACCCAATCCAACCGATATATATCCGAACTGAATCGAACTGATTAAAAATATTACATCATATTGGATATGAATATCTCAAATCCAAAATAACCGAACCCAAAATAATATATCGTTTTACAGTTATTTCGGTCATTATATTATGCTTTTCTAAACTAAGATTTGGTCATTTTTTTAAAAATATTAAAACTATGATTATTTCATATTTGTGTACTACATGTATATATATATTATCACAATAATAATAATAATAATAACAATTCAACAACCCGTATAAAATCGATTCACATTTAATTTAAATAAATGAGTTGAAATATCATTTAGTTTAGTTTTTCATTTACTTCGACCTATATTTTATTAAATTTGGTTCTTATTATTCCTATCATCCCAATTTGTTTTATTAGATTATACACTACTCATCCTAAGATTTTCAATTATGTGATGAAGGAATTGAATTAATCCTCATTTGTCAAAGATCTATCATCGTCTCGTACAAACATTCATGATAAAAGTTGGAGGTTCATATAAAATGTTACTTACCAAACTCAGATTGCCAATATTAGGACTCGTCTCGGATGACTTTTTACTCGAATTATATATTTTAAGACTCAATTCGATAAGTCTCTGAAGAATCTTCAAAATAAAATTCCAATGACAATTAGCGGAGCCTTCCCAACCAAACTCATATTTCACATTACATTCAATTAAAACTTTAATAGTTTCCATAGTTTTCGTTAGACCAATTTCAAATTCATAAGAATTAATGCAAATGTCAATAGAAAAACTATTTATCATATCCTGACGATATTTGTCCAAATATAAAACATTAATAGTTATACAATTGAATTCATGTATTTATTTGATTTTTTTAATTTGATATATATTTTTTGTTAATATTATAAAGACTTTGATTCTCCAAATAATAAATAACAGAAAAACTTACCTTATTGATATTATATTAGAAAAAAATAACTATTTTAAAAATAATTTTATTTGAGAAGGTAAATTATTTTTATAAGCAAACTAAATAAAAATAAAATAAAATGGACAAATATATTAAGATGTTAATATAAATTATTATATGGTCGAATAAAAAATGAATACTCAAATATTTTCTACGTAAATGAATGACTACAACATAATTTTTTATTAGACCATTTGTTTATCATTCCGGTACAGTAAACGAATATTACAATGAAACTGGTCAAATGTAAAATTTTAAACCGGTATCATTAATCGATTCTCTATACTTATTTCTCTATCCAAATTTGTATAACTTTTCAAATTTACGACTGAATGTAAACCGGTTAAATTCTATGTTTTCATTAACTTTTTTGTTTTAACGTTTTCGTGTTTATTTAATAAATAGAGTATTTAATGATAATTCTTGGGTTTTGAAAAATATGAAACACAAATAGAAAGCTTTTGGTAAAATCAGCCAGTTTATTCGTTAACCGGATTTTACACACTCATATAATTTCTCTGTTATAGCAATCTTTTTTTACTTCATGTTTTTAACAAAGAATATATATATATATATATATATATATATATATATATATATATATGCTATCATATATCATATGTACATATGTTTCGCTCGATACACAAAAATAAACAACCGAATATCCATTTGAAATATATAATAATCAAATTTTTTTTATTTATATCTAATTCTTACTTTATATTCACACAACTAATTTGATTTTAAAAAATATATTCTTTTTAGCTCAAACTGAAAACGAATATATATTTTCATATATTTTTCGATCCGATTTTTTTTAATCCCTAAATCAACATTTGAACTTTCGAAAATCCAAATACAATTTAATAGTATTATATATATATATATATATATATATATATATATATATATATATAGTTCATAAAGAGTCCTTTTCCACGTCATAAAAAATATATATACAAAATATCGTATCAGTATTCATGTTAAATAAAAATTTCACAAAAATAAACTAATTCTTACAAAAAATCTAAAAAACATAATAAAAAAAAAAGAATGAACAATGAACAACACAAAATTATAAACCCTTACCTGGGTAACCCCTTTCTTCGTTGTGGCTTATGTTGTGAGTCTCCCTATCTTTTTCTTTTTTTGCAAAAATTTTCGGTTGTCATATTCTCTTCAATTTTTTCTTCTTTTTTCTTTTGATTCGTATTATACATTCCTTCGATCGTAATCATCTACTCAAATATATATGCCACAGATAAAACACTTAATGATTAGTTCATGACTTTCCACTTGGCTCTTCGGGCTTTGCGGTTAATGAACCATAAATTAAACATTCGAATCTTAACCTCTCTATTTTTAAGTGTGAATTAATTACTCATTTGACCGGCGATCTTTATTTTTTAATTGAGAATTACTTAACTCTTGTGAAAAAATTAAAATGCACTCTTTCATATTTTCAAAAAAAGAACACGTGTCACGCCCGTAGGAAAAACTCTACTTTTATATATAAAAGATATATATAATTAATAGCATGTGGACGTTTTGGTATTCGATTCGTGTTCGAATCAGAAATAATTCGGTTCAATTCTTTCGATTTTACAAAAATAAATATCAATTGATTATTATATTATATTAGTTTCGGTTTCAGTTCGATTGCGCTTTTTATTTAAAAAATAGATTTTTTTTTAAAAAATTGGTTTTTTAAATTTTTTAAAATTATGTTGGATTCATTTAGTTTTCGAAAAATTTGATTTTTCTGAATTAATATAACTATTGAGAAATTTTAAACGGTTTGGATAGAGAAAAAGTTCCGAACCCGCCCCCTAATATACAACACTCCAATTTCTAACTAGGGGTGTCAAAACGAGCCCGGCTCGTGAGCTGGCTCGTGGCTCGCCAGAAAACGAGCGATCTGAACCGTAATTTTTTCAGGTCGTTAAAAAACGAGTCTAACGAGCCAGAGCTCATTGAACACGTGTTCAATGAGTCTGGCTCGGCGAGCTGGCGAGCTGCTCAACGAGCTGATATTTTTTTAAAAAAATAAATTAAATTTATATAAAAAAACTCTAATATAATTTTATATTAATTTTTTTCATATTATTTATATGATATTATAAATATACTAATTATTATGATGGTGATAATTGAAAATATTAAATGATATAGATGTTTTAATAAATTTTTATGTATTTATTTAAATTTATAATTATATTTAAAATAAATATAAATAAAAAATATTATATATCATTGGCTCAACGAGCCGGCTCGTTCAGATCAGAAAATTGGCGAGCGATCTGAGCCGAGGTTTTTCTGGCTCGTTAGAAAACGAGCCTAACGAGCTGAGCCCAAAACGATCCGAGCCAAATGAGCCGAGCCCAAAATGATCCGAGCTGGCTCGTTTGACACTCCTGTTTCTAACCACACCAGTTGTTTTCATGATATCTGTCTTGGTCATGTAACAATATCTTATTCGAAATTGACAGATAAAGTTTTGCCAAATCACACACAACCAAATCAGACATTCATTGGCAAAGACAAGAACCAAACTAGCAAGTCTAGTTTCCATTTGCAGAAGAAGAGGGAGTGAATAAGAACATATCGTCCTTTATTATTCAGTAAACCAGCAGCCCTTCCTTACCGGCCGCAAACGCGCACCATCCTCTCGGCCCCGGATGGTCCCCCGACCCGACCCCATCCTCCCATTTCGTCCATTTCAGCGTCTCGGTGTCCAACCCGAAAACATCGCCCGTGAACCGCCCGGCCCCTAGGTGGCCTAAGTCGCTCGGGTCTACCTCCCCGCCACATATAACTATCTGTTTCCCGAAAACCGCAGTCGAGAACACGCTCCTTGGCGACGGTTTCTCGCCTTCCGTCTCCACTTCTTTCCATTTCCCATGGGCCGGATCAAAGCAATGAACGTCGTCCGCCTCAACTCCTGTGAATCCATACACTACCCATATCTTTCCTTGCACGATCCCGAGCCCGGGACCGCCCCTTCCTTTACACGCTTCCCCGGGGGCCGGGAACTGGATCCACTTCTGAGCGACAACGTTGAACGCCCAGAGGTCGTTCAGTCGGCCATCAACTCCACACCCACCAAACACGTAGACGTTCTCTTCGTCCGCCGCAATTGAGTGGTAGCTACGGTGCGGGGGACCCCCAT